AAAGAGTTCATCATAAAGAGTCCCTCTTTCTCCATGAAGTCGGCCAGCTGCTGGCCCCTTGGGTTCCGTTGCCCTATTCCAAATTTCCCTACTTTCAGCTCACCGTTCTCTCTTGTGCCTAGTTTTGCATTAAAGTCTCCCATTAACACCGTATATTGGGTTTTGGAGGAATGCATGGCTCTAGAGATATCCTCATACATTTCCTCCACCTCCTCATCGGGGTTAGCCGAGGTTGGTGCGTAAACCTATATGACCTTCAGCGAATACTGTTTGGTGATTCTGAGTATAAGGTACGCAACCCTCGTCGACACACTCCCGATCTTTACAACGTTGTTAACGAGAGACTTGTGGACGATAAATCCGACACCTCCTTGGGACAGATGGTCGCCCTCCCGGTGATAGAGCAAGTTGCCGGATTCGAGGATTACCGTGTCCTCCCCCTCTCTTCGGACTTCGGATAATCCTATAATATGCCAGCGCAACTTGTCCATCTCTTCTTCCAGCTCCACGATCTTCTCGTCAGTCCTCAGGGTGCGTGCGTTGTACGTTGCCAGGTCGAGTCGTCTAAGGTGGCAACCGAACCTCCACCGGAGATTCTTAGCACCCCCTGCCCCGCCGTTACCATGGTCGCCACCGTAGCCAGGAATAGCGGGGCCGCCGGGGACTGGGGGCCGTTTCTTTGTTACTGTCATTCATAGGGGGGTATTTGCCATAGTTGCCACGCTTGGCGAGCGGGTTGGCAACCGCAGTTTTTTTTTTATTGTTAGTTTGTTGTTATCAAGAAGATGCTGCTGCCCATCTTCTGCCTGTTTCTCTTTGTCGCCTTTTACGACACCCACGGGAGGATATGGCGTAGTGGATATTCTTGACCGCCACTACACGGCACATATGTATGTATATATATATATATATATATATACTTAAAATAAAAGTTTAAAGGGACCCCCTATTAGAAACGTGTATTACGATGGTACGGAACCTTTCATGCGTTAGTCCGACTCGCACTTCGCCGGTTATTTTATAGGATAAGGATGATAAACGAGCATATAGCCCCCCTGATGGTAAGTGGTTGCTGTGGCACAAAGACATCTACATCTATCCTCGATTACGAATCAAAATGCCTCGTCTTGTTTGGCCTGGTAAGTGCAGGTGGCCCGGAGGCCCACTGCTCGGGGCAAGCAGAGCAATACTCCTTTTTAAAAGGCCGGAAACCTGCAATTTGCAATTCCCCTGGTGTTGCAGTTGTTCATGAGCGGCAGTCGACACTTACCAACAGGTGAGACTAGTGCTCGTTTGCCCTCTCATTAAAAAAAATTGGTCATGGAACAATAAAAAAGAAATAAAATCGAATTGAAACGTTCCAGGTTTCTTTCCTGCTCAAAATTGACTGTATCCAACAGTTAAATTTTAAGGAATTTTAAAAAGGTGACTGTAGGTTAATTTGAAAGTTATTACTTAGGGCGGCTGATAAGTCCGCGGCCCAAGGTACTTATCAATGACTTGTGTTAGCACTAATTGCGACACTCCTTGTTAGTATAAATATAACCGTCTTTTGATAATATAGCTATTAGCAAATGATGTCGAAGTACAAGCGTCATTATGTCACCTGATTCGTCAAATTTCAGTAATATTGACGACCACACCGTAATAAAGTACTTCGTGAATAAAAGTAAAACGCCGAAAGAAATTTTCGAAGACATGTCATTATATTATCTTCAGAAATCTGCGCCTTCTTATACCATCAAAAAATGGGTTCGCTTATTTCAGAAAAGACGAGAGAGTTTTTTTCCCGCCCAGTGCCTCCTGTAACGGTCGTGACTGCGGAAAATGTTTGGAAAGTCGAAAAATTAGTACTGGCCGACCGAAGGATAAAATAATGGCAAATAGCCAAGGAGTTGCAGATTAGCAAAGAATGGGTTGGAGAAATTTTTACACGAGTATTTCAATATGAGAAAAATCAGTGCGCGTTGAATACCAAAAATGCTAACGTAGTTCGACAAACAGCAGCGACTCGAGACTAGTAAGCAATGAAGACGAAATTAGCGACCGAACTGTAGCCATGGATGAAACCTGGGTTTGCCTATACGATTCGGGATCCAAACAGGAGGCCATGCAATAGATGAATAAAGGAGAAAGGCCGCCGCAGAAATTAAAGGTTCAAAAGTCGACATCAAAATGGATGACGACTGTTTTTTAGGTCAGCGAGGGTGTTTTGCTGCTTGACTACCTGCCAAATGGTACTACTATGAATGACAACATTACGCAAATTTATTGGGAAGTTAGCACGTGGAGGATAATGCGCCTGTCCACACGGCGCGGGTTTCGAGGCAGGCTCTGAAGGACACTGGCTTATCGGAAATTAACCACCCAACCTATAGACCAGACTTGACTCTCAGCGACTACTTTTTGGAACGAAGTTCCTTACCGGACGGTACGAATTTGGCGGATGGCGGCTAGGCGAGAAAAAGTGTAAGATTTTTCCGTCACCACCCTCTCTGATGTAATGTAGACGACTTTGGCGGCTATGGAGAAGCGAGACTGACTAATATCCATCTCCCGTGCACTTTTTCTTAAAAGAAATATTATTTTATTTTGACGCTTCATTTTAATAGACGCTAGTAATTCATTTATTTGTATTTGTTAATCAATAATATAATACGTTTGTCAATAATAATATACTACGAAAGGAACTTCGTTCCAAACGAGTGTTCCACGACACTCACGTATGTTTTCTTTTTCAATTTGAAAAAGAAGTTACGAGGTGGTAGATTTGTCGATGACAATGAAATGAAGGCGGCTGTTGAAAGCCATTTTGAGGGCAAAGAAAAGGACTATTTGTTTGGCGGTTTGAAAGCGTGAAAAATGTATTTTGCTTGAGGGAGAGTATATTGAAAAATAAAATAAAATATTCATACTTTTCTTTCATTTAATTCCTTAGGCCGCGGATTTATCAGCTACCCCTCGTCTTTCTTGTTTTTTTACAATTGCTGAGCATATAGATACCGGTGTGCTGAGCCCCGTCCTACACCACACAGCATAATATACAGTAAAATTGTTGGTAAATGCAATGCAAACTGACACTGAAATCGGTTATCTATCGTAACATGACTATATCTCTGTTTGAAAATGTAGATACTGCACGAAAATAGGCCAAATTAGTAAATTGAACATCACATTAGATATGGTCGGATACTTATGCGAAGTGTTACTGTAATTAAATGAAATATGTTGTGTTCTAAGAGGCGACTGGAGGAAATTAAACAGGAGATGGGCAGCCGTATCATCCAGGTAACAACTCAGTAATAATAAAAAGCTGCGGCCAACCCGCATGCCAAGCGTGGCAAGCGCATTAACGTGGTAGAGCCATGCTGCAGCTATATTAATTGTATAGTTGTAGCAAGAATGGGTCAGCTCGACCGGGGAAGAACCACCCTCTCACAGAATACCAGCGTAAAATAGCAGCGTAATGCTGCTGTTTTTCGTATGATGAGTGTAGAGAACCGGAGACCTTTTTTTACTGGAAAAGAGGCATTCCATCTTAATCCTCACGGCTGACAACGCGTCTGCATTTTAATTCGCAAATGAGGATAGATGTAGTCTATGGGCCACAATAACCACATACCATCAGGTGGACTGTGTGCTCGCTTGTCACACTTATCAGATAAAAAAAAATATCCCCCTACAAGACAATCTATAGAGGAGGCCTATGCCCAGCTGTTGACATTTAATGGGCTGTAATGAGTGAATTGTTGAATGAATTTTCTTCATTGTTGCATTATTAATTTACCAACATCTTTCATTCCATTCATTTATAATTTGGTTATCTTCGAGACAAAAGTGCGCTTCACCATCTTCGACCCCTTACCACCGGTGGGATAGCAGTCATATTCATAGTCATATTCATAGTCATGTATAGTGAGTACGTCGACGTACGTCTTTAAACGAGTGCACGAGACTAAGGATTTGATCTTTAAATTACAAATTTTAACATTTTCTTCATTTGAAGTACTTATATCAGATTCTACTTTTTTATTTTTTCGCGTTAACAGCCTGGTGGGCTTATCCACTCCTGGACATTGCTTTTTTTTTGAAGATGGCGGCAACTGGGTAACATTACTTAAAAAAGTGGCTCGTTCTTATAGCCACTAAGGTGGGCAGTCGGTAATAGCAATCTCAGATCAAATCGCACCCACATTTGTTTTTATATATATACGAACGGGGCATTTTTTAGTGCAGCCCAATTACAATCGACAAAAAGTAAAGAAGGCTAATCTTCATGAACGTTGATAAACTCTGTTGATGAACTCTGGTCACTGCTGCCAGTTTTAGCAGAGATAGATTTTTATCTGTGCAGGATAACATTATAGTGCCTGATTGTAACCATAGGAGCATTTTCTATTCCCCCACTTTCAAAGTCCGATTGGACAGCAATGCAACACGATCCGAGAAAGATCAGGCGCATGACCAACTACTTAACCTGCTTACCGGAGCACGGGGGTGAAAAACTCAATAACTGATGTTCTGGCTCTACTTAGGATTCCTACCTGCGACCTCATGTTGAACAGCCGCGTTTACGACCAATTGACTAACGAGGTAGGCGAGGTTAAGATGGAGGAGTTTTAAGATGGAATACTCAAGTGGGACACCGGTAGTCACTAACCTAATTATTTTTAGAAAAAGTGTGACACACCAGCATACAGTGCACCTGATGTTAAGTGGATGCTGAGGTCTATAGACATCTACATCTATCCTCGATTAAGAATCAAAATGCAAATGCGTTGTCACCCTTTAGGGCTAAGATGGACTGCCTCGGTACCAGTAAAAAGGCTCTCCGTTTCTCTACACTCGCCATACGAAACACGACGGCATTAAGGTGCTATTTTACGCCAGTATTCTGTGAGATCGTGTCCTTACCCTCTGCCACGAATAAAAGTAATAAGTGGACTGTAAATTGGTTTGCGACTTCAGTTTTATTATTTTATTTCCCGCAGGCAGGGAAGATGGGGGATGCGGGAGAGGAGATGGACGATAAAGAAGAGAAGGCGCGTCGCTTGGGTGTGTCGTCGCGGTGGGTGGGAGGCGCGCTGGTGGCAGCGGCGCTGCTGCTGCTACTAGCCGCGCAAGCCGAGCGCCGCCTGCCGCCAGCTCGTGACGCGCCCCCGGACGACTTCAGTGGTTTCCGCGCGCACCGCTACCTCACCAACCTCACCGCCGTCGGGCCCAGGGTACGAAAAGCAGTCACTATAATAACGCTCACAAACAAAGACTTCTATGTATGCTACTAGACTAGCTCTCGCTACGCTGTAACGCTGCCACTACAACCACGCTCACTACTCAAACACTTCTACTAATAGTGTAATCCAGACCGATTTCGGTCACTGCCGCAGGTGTCAGCGAAGGCTAGCCATCTGACATAAAAATACATACTAAACTCCTACAAATAGTTGCAAATTTGGAATTAACCACGATATTTTATGCTTGAAATAACCTTTATTAAATATTTTTCTCAGATCTATTTAGTAATAAAATGGAATTTTATAACATAAATATTCAAATGCAATGTTGGGGTTGAAAGAATGTCCGCTAACCCAAATCGTCCCGTGTGTGTGGCACCATCTTCACAGCATATTCTTCAACAACTAGATTCAAAGTAAAAAAAACTGCGGTTGCCAAACCGCCTGCCAAGTGGAAAGTATGGCAAATACCCCCCCCCCCCCCCCTCCCCCGCCCTTATGAGATTATATGCGGGGAAGTCAGTATGTTCAGTGTTTGACTTTGATAGATTGTAATGAACGTAATTTCAGAAACTGTTAGATCTCGTCAAAACATCGTCATTTACATACTTAGCGGGTCTAAAATCGTTCTCGTTAAGTGAATTCGTAAAATGATATTTGTAAGGTAGATATTATAAAATATAAAATAAATATTAACATATTAAATATTATTAGGTATTCAAGAAGGGAAATGGCATATTCATAAACTGCCAGCACATTATTAATAAATATATTTCATTATAATTTCTATTATTTTTAAATTTATATTTTTGGCCTGTGCCTAGATAGGTATTACGATTTACACAAAAACCTTGGGGAAGATCGCGCCGCGCCGCGGCTTTCTTTGTGTCAGTGACCTCAGCGGCGAAAGATAATATGTGTTGATAAGTTCAGAAGCAAATAACATTTTTAGAAATAATGTTTTCTTATATATACGCGAAAACTACATATAGAATAAAACTACATTTACGGATTCTATCGCGTTTAACTTGTTTTTATTGATTCCCGACGTTTCGGGTACTTTACAGCACCCATGGTCATGGGGGACTGAGGTGATTGACGTCCCGATGTCAGAGTTAACCCGGAGTACCGTCAGCTTTTTTAATTATTAATTTTGGTTCGATTTACGCAGAATGAACTTACTGTGTCTTGAAGTCTTGCAGTGGTATGCTTGGGTTTAGTTTTAATTCTATTAATTACAGTATCCCAAGCAGGTGGTAGTACCCAGCCTCCCTCTCTATTGAAATTAGGATGTTTTTTAATTTCAATAGCCTCACGTATCATCCTTAGCAGGAATCGATTATCTTTCGCGAGAATTTGTGGTTTATTAAATCTAATGTAATGGCGAGGGCCGTCTAGGATATGATCACAAACTGCAGACTTCCCGGAACGTTGGTGTTGTTTAGAATAGGGTTGCCAACCGTTCTGTTTTCCCAGGACATGTCCTAGTTTTTGTAGTGTCCTGGGATGTCCTGGATAGTTTTAAAGCAGCGTTCTGGGTTTTTAAAGCGTCTTGATAAGGTCATGTATTTTAAAATTCGCGCACCACTTTTACAATTCTTACATTACGGGCGGCTTCACGGCGTTTTTATTTTGCTTTGTATGGTATCGTTTGAATCTAGTCACTTATAAAAAGTGAAGACGAACCGATACAACCGATACTTGCATACATGTTTTACAAGGCCTTTACTGCGTCGAGTTTTTAAACTGTATTTTCCTGGTTTTCCAATTTCAAATACCTAGTTTTTTAAATTTGGGGTTGGCAACCGTAGATTAGAAACTCTAAAACCCCATTTAAAGCAACCAAAAAAATTGTCATTATCATAATTGCCATGCCTATGTGTACCACCTATACGTCCCTGAAATGACGCGAATGAAGTTCGCGGTATGCCCCTCCGCCCCACAAAGCACACAGCTTGGGGGGGGGGGGGGGTTAAGGTGCTACGGGTGCACTCATGTGTCCCGTGAGTAATCGCCAGTGCACTTGACGCACCTAGGGCGGGCAAAACAGTTGCGGGCTGAGTGGCCTGCACTGCCCGGGAACCTCTTGCCCTCTGAGTACTAGAGACCACGAGACGGGCGACGAAGATATTTTATACCGTGCGAAAGGGACAACATATTCAAGATGCGATTGTAGAATACGAGGGCGGCACTGAAAATTTCTTGAATCAAGGAAGTGACACAACATTACTATTTAAAAATGTATTTATTGCTTTTCGAAGTATTCTCCGCGAAATTTGACACATCATTTCATACGATGGAACCAATCATTGAAGCAACCATTCTATTCGGAAGTTGGGGTCTCCAAAAGGGCCGTTTTGTAGGCGTCCACAGCTTCTTCAGGTGATGAAAATCTCTGTCCACGCAATTTATTCTTTATTTTAGGGAAAGTATAGAAATCATTAGGGCTTAGGTCGGAGCTGTACGGCGGATGGTCCAATAATTCTATGTTTTCTTGCTCTAAAAACTCTTTTGTTCTGTGTGCGGTGTGAGAACTCGCATTGTCGTGATGGAGGATGATGCGGCGGTTGCAGTTCTCTTTACGGAGTTCAGAAACGACCTGTGGCAAACAAATGCTAGCATACCATTCTGCATTAACCGTTCTTTGTCCCTCAAGAGGAATAGTCGTAACATGGCCACTTTTGGAGACAAACGTGGCCACCATTTTTTTTGCAACACTCCGTGAACGAACAATTTTTGTTGGCTTTAACTCATTTTCGAACACCCAAACTCGTGACTGGTTTTTTGTTTCGGGTTCGTACGCGTATATCCAGGATTCGTCACCTGATACGATGTTGTATACAGCATTTGAGGATCCTGCGTGGAATCTTTCGAGAGTTCTGACGCACCAAGTAACGCGAGCCGCTTTTTGCTCTTCACAGAGTGACTGCGGTGTCCATCGGGAAAACAACTTTTTTACACCTAATTGTTCATGCAAGATTATTTGTATTTGACTCATGCCAATGTCTAAAGTTGCCTGAATTTCGCGGTATGTCACATGTCGATCTTCCTCAATCAGCTTACGCACAGCATCAACGATTTCTTGGGTGACTGCAGTTTTTGGACGACCTTGACGGGGATCATCACTGATCTTGACACGTCCACGTTGAAATTCAGAAAACCAGCGATAAATTGTGGTTTTAGATGGGGCTTCATCACCAAATGCAGAAATCATCCGGTCAACACACTGTTTTTGTGTTAAACCACTTCGAAAGTCATAATAAATCATCGCACTTGAATTTTCTCGAGTCAATTCCATTTTCTCAACGACTAAACAAGTTTGACAAAACCTTGTGATAATTTATATTCGATTTTTAAAACCAAGGAGTTTTCAATTAAAAAGATTTTAATATGACAGGAACAGTGGAAATATTCCATTCCCGATACTTTTAGTGCAGCCTATGTAACCAATCATTTTATTTTGCTGAAGGGTTTTCTTCACCTCTGCCCTAGCCTCCACAAAATTATATTGTTGTTAATCTCGATTAATATAAAGTATTTTCAAAATGTAGTTGAAAACTGTAGTCCTCGTTCTTTGAAGGTGTCTGCAAGTGTCCATGGACTGCAGTAGTCACTTACCATCAGGTGTACTGTAACTTCGTTTATCACTTCAGTTTAAAAAATAAACTGTTCCTCGTCACTGGTTTTGATATTTTAAATCTCGTAGCAGGCCCAAATCCTCAAATAATTTGAGCTTTTGTATTTGGTCAAATTGTGACTGTAAAAATGTTATAAATGTTTATTTAATGTATGGTAAAAACGGGATTAAGGGGTGAATTTGGTCCGTTCTGGCAGGTAGCGGGCAGCTACGAGAATGAAGTGGTAACCGTGAAGTGGATCGTGAACACTCTGCGGGAGATCGCGGCGCAAGCGTCGCCGCACAACCGCCTCGAACTTGACGTACACACCGCCAGCGGCGCCTTCCCGCTCTCCTTCCTCGATGGTACAGCCACCATGACTTTTTACTATTTTTTTTATAGAATAATGGTGACAAACGAGCACACAGTTCACCTGACAGTAAGTGAATGCTGTGGCCCATAGATCTCTTGTGCTTGCTTTCAGACTTCTAACGTTATATCTATGTATTACCAGAACGTCCGCGGAATCCGAACTTTTGGTTCGGATTCCGCGGACATTCTGGTCCGTGATCACATGATCTTTTTTGTAATGCTTTCTTTGCTGATTATGAGATTATAATATTGACTGAAACTTGGTTAAACCAATCTATTAATAATGCTGAGATCCTCGACAATCGCTATATTGTTTATAGACGTGATCGCGAAAGCTCTGGATTTCATTGTTCAAAGGAGGGTGGCGGTGTATTAATTGCTGTCTCTAACAGGCTAAAATCTACTAGGCTAGTTGGGCTTGAGGGTAAATGTGAGGATTTATGGATAAAAATAGAATCCTCGACATTCAAAATGACGATTTGTGCTGTATACCTGCCTCCCCCCGTGAATCATACTATTTTAAAACATTTTACCGACAATTTTAATAGACTATCTGAAGGATTAGAATGTGTGTCTTAGGTGATTTTAATTTAAGCAATATTTATTGTACATGCAGTCCAATTCGTTGCGCCTCTAACTTAGGCCAAACGGTAATAGATTTTTCATACCTTAGTGAGTTAAAACAATATAATAATATAAAGAATAAAAATGATAAAGTCCTTGATTTCGTGTTATCCAATATAAAAGATGTTAAAGTTCTGTATTCAGTTCATAGCTTAGTCCAAACTGACCATTACCATCCACCTCTGGACATAAATTTTGCCTTTATTGCACAGACGGGACTTAAATCAAATGTTTCGCAAACTAAATACAACTTTTTTTTAAAGCATATTATAAGAATATTAGGGCATCACTTAACAATATAAACTGGTTTCTTGAAATTGCTGATTGTAATGATGTTAATGAGATGATTAATATATTTTATGATACACTTAATAAGACAATAGAAAAGTATATTCCAAAATCAAAGCCACGCAGTTTAAAATATCCACACTGGTTCAATAAAGGTTTAATAAGAATGATAAATGAGAAAAGAACTCTCCTGTATAATTATAAAATTTATAAAAATCCGCTTGATGAAATATCGCTACAATTATTAAGCAAACGCTGCAAAATTTATACAAAAATTTGTTATCAAGAATATATTTCTAAAATTAAAAGTAGCATAGGCAACGATCTTAAGTATTTTTGGTTTATTACGTATATATATATACTTAAGTATTTATTAATGTAATTAAAAATAAGCGTAATTTTGTAAATCAATATCCGTTAACTATAAACCTTAATAACAAGATATGTTCGGAAGGGTCGAAGATATGTGACCTCTTTGCAACTCATTTTTCGTCCGTTTATACCAATGCCACAGTCCCCATACCATCCAGTAGCATTAATAATTCCATCACAAATTCATCTAATTGTTTTAGCTCCTTATACATCCCACAAAAAACAGTTTACAAGTATTTAAAAAGACTTGATAAAAATAAAGGAGCTGGTCCGGATAGAATTCATCCCGTTTTTATAAATATTTGTGCTTCTTCTCTTTGCAAGCCCTTAACCATAATTTTCAACGAATCATTGCGATCAGGTGCATTTCCAGAAAGATGGAAAATAACAAAAGTCGTCCTAGTATTGAAAAACGGCGATAGTAAAAATGTTATTAATTATCGACCAATATCTATATTATCAGCTTTTTCGAAGATATTTGGGGCCGTAGTCTATCCTTATTTATCTAGCTATTTTAAGCCCTACCTCTCTGAAAACTAACATGGTTTTGTTAAAAATTGCTCAACATTAACAAATTTAATATCTCATGTAGGTTTCTTAACAGAAAAAGTCGACACTCAACTTCAAGTAGATGCTATATACACAGTCTTTTCTAAAGCATTCGACAGAGTCTGCCATCGAACTCTATTGCATAAATTATCTAATTACGGTTTCTGTGGGTCTATGGTTGGTTGGTTTGAGTCGTATCTACGTGGTCGAACTAACTATGTAGTACTAAACGGTTACAGGTCTGATAACTATACATCCAGTTCTGGCGTTCCACAAGGTTCTCACCTGGGGCCGTGGCTATTTAACTTGTTCATTAATGATTTGGATCAACAAATAAGAAATAGTAAGGTCCTATTATTTGCAGATGACTTAAAGATAGCTAGTGTGATTAATTGTTCCAATGATTCACAACTTTTACAAGATGATGTTGATGGTCTAGTAAATTGGTGTAGCATTAATAATGTGCAGCTGAATCCCAATAAATGTTCTCAAATCTCTTTCACACGTAAATTATCTCCATTTAAAATGAAATATAAAATAAATAACGAAGAATTACAGATTGTGGATCTTGTTAAGGATTTGGACATTTTTTTGGATTCTAAACTGACTTTTATTCCACAAATGGACCGCATGATAGAGAAAGCTTCAAGGACTTTAGGCTTCATATTAAGAAATAGTAAAACCTTTACCATAATAGAATATGAGAGCGTAATATGGTCACCACAATACAAAGTCCATCAACTACATATAGAAATAATACAAAAACGGTTAATGAGGAATCTAGCTTATAACATAAATGACAAAAAACTTGCCGGATATAATGAGAAGTTAAAATTCTTCGGCGTTGACAGCTTGTCAAACCGAAGAAAGTATCTGGACATGGTAATGTTTTATAAAATAGTGCGCGGAACTACGGACAGCGCTGAGTTATTGCGAGAAATAAAACTTAAAGTTCCAAGGCTTTATACGCGTAAATCTGTACCTTTGTTGCATCCACTTCCTTCTAAATCTAATCTAGGTCATACCAATAGTTTAGCTAGAATGTCACGTTTGCTGAATTTGATGTCTGATTCTGTGGACATTTTTAGCAATTTTTTGTCCTCTTTAAAAAAAAAACAGTGCTACAGAACTTAAGAGATAATATTTAAGAGTTCGATATGTATTAATTTTGTTATTTGGTTTAATCTATTATTGTCATTTTCCTCCTGTATTGTTTTAAGGTCTCTCAGTTTGTTTATTATTAGTTTATATTTTTGGTTTGGTTTTAGGTTATGTTTCTAATGTTTTGTAATTTATGTTATAAAGTGTTACTCTTCTTGTGAAGCATGTTGTGGCGGTTTTTAATTGGTTTTACATTTAAAAATTAAGCTTATATATTATGTTTTGTGAAATTATATTACCATGGCCGACCGAAAGCGAAACGAAGAGATTCGCAATATGGCAGGTTTGAAAGATGACCTTATCACAAAAATTGATAAGGGCGTGCTTCGGTGGTTTGGGCACGTTGAGCGAATGAGTGAAGACCGAATGGTGAAGAAAATATATAGCGCGAAAGTTAATATTAAAAGGTGTCGAGGTAGACCGAGACTAACTTTCGAAGACCATGTGAGCAAATTGCTCGAAGAGGGTAGGGTCAAGAGTACTCGGATCGATCCTAGACGTGCATGTATGAAGAAGATAATGAATCTGAAAGAAGCGAAAGAGGTATGTAAGGATCGTGACACTTGGCGATCTGTTCTCTCTGGCTACCCCGTCAGGGATTGTGCGTGAAGATAAGTAATATTATTGTAATTACCTCTGGCTGTCCTTAAATAAATAAATAAATATCTACATTTATCCCCAATTAAGAATGATAATGCAGATGCGTTATCTCCGAGGACTAAGATATAATGTCTCGTTTCCAGTAAAATGGGTCTCCGGTTCTCTACACTCACCACCACTCATTAAACTGCTATCTTAAGCTGGTGTCCTGTGAGATACTGATATACAGTATTTCCATGAATCCGTGTTAATTTCCACATGATTTAATTCGTTAGTTGTTACTGGCTTAAGCTTAAGAACTGATCTAAAAGTTATCACTATAAAAAACTAACAAACATAAACGTTTTAGATAACAATGGGGCTGGCATATCTCTTAAGTTGAACGCACATTTGTCCGCACCGTACGCATCGTACGCGCCGTACGCGCCGAGTTTTACTGATGGCCCCGCACATTTGCCCGTACGCATCGTACCGCGCCGCACGCAAATCTTTTGTATTACCAACAACTTTTGTAGTTTTTTCCAACCACTGGTGTGAAATTGTACAGTGAAGTTGATCGCTCGAAATCATTATGGAAAGAAATATAGTAATAGCCTGCTTATTGACAGAGGAAGAACAAAATAAAATTCGAAGAAAAAGAAGATTCTGCATTCATAATATTAATTTAAAATCTAAAAAGGCGATTGTATGGAGAATATGAAGGGGTTATATTTTATTTAAAGACTATTAGATGACGATGAACGATTTTTTTAGATATTTGCATTTAACATACAAGAAATTTCAAGAATTGTTACATCTAATAAAACCATACCTTTCTATGGAAAACTCAAGATTTAGAAGGCCAATTGAACTCGAAAAAGAATTGTTGTATGTTTGAGGTAAGTATTTTTATTGATATTTAAGTGATTACTTACTTAGTAGTTAGTATAATTGGGTTATTTGAATTAAATTTTACTATTTTTTGTTAGTTCAGTATTTAAATAATTTGTCGCTAAGCATACATATTGACAATCGATGCAAAAAATATCAAATTATGCATAATTAATTATGAATGAATAAAAAGTTATAAAAATACAAAAATTATCATGTAAGTCACCACCAGTATCCACTAGTTATATTGGAAAATCCACTCGGTTGGCAGCATTAGACAACACTGAGTGGCAGCACGCGCCGAACGCGCCGTGTTGTATAACGTCATCAGCATGCGTCCTTCAATCATTTTATAAAAGTCGGCGCGTACGATGCGGGTTTAATGTGCGAGGTTTCATATGATTTCATACAACGAATTCTAAAATTCGGCGCATACGGCGCGTACGGTGCGGACAAATGTGCGTTCAGCTTTAAAGATAAAAGCTGCAAAAAAAAGTAGAATAATAATATAAGTCCGTCATATTTACTCCTTTGTTCATGGAAGTATAAGTTAATAAAAAAGAATATGTGCATTTCACACACGGTAGAAGTGAAACCTTCAAATGAAATGAAATATAAAAGAAAAATATTTCACAGCAAATGATTTATTTAATTTGATAATTTTCAACATAACTTATAATGCATAAAATATAAGATAAAAGTTTAATTTTATAGAAAATAAATGTTACAATCTTTATTTTTAGACACGTACAACCTAAATTTTTGTGCATTAATTTAATCAAAAGAATTAATATGTCGTGCCTAATAATAACGCTCATAAATCACTTTTTAATTTTCAATATTTTTTTGTCACAAAATACCTTATTGAGACTTATGTATAAGAAATAGGTCTATGGTATCCTGGACTTTTTTTTAGATGGAGGAAAGATCTATATTTTTTGTTAAACATAGTATTTACTATATTTAACAAAAATATATAGTACTCTTTTATTATATAGTATTGTAAGCAGTTCGGGAGCGCTTTTTCTTTCGACTTGCTTAACAAAAATCAATATTAAAGGCTGGCTAGCTGAGAGGTGTAGCCTAATGCTAGATAGTCTATAATATTCCTCGTGAATCTGATTATCATATATAAAAATAATTAATCAAATCGGACTGGTAGTTCCAGAGATTAGCGTGTTTAAACAAACAAAAACCCTCTTCCATTTTATTATATTAATATAAATACATTCTATCCCATTCTCTCGTAGGCGTATCCTATCTTCTTTATATATAAAAATTACGTGTCACATTGTTTGTCCGCGATGAACTCCTAAACTATTGAACTGATTTCAATGATTTTGCACATTGTGTGCAGTTTGATCCAACTTGAGAAATAGGATACTTTTTATCCCGATAAGTGACTTTAAATATTTTTTTATTGCGAATTTAAGGATTTTTTCATAGGAGGCGTCGTCGGAAAGGGCAGAACAACGTCTGCCTGGCCAGCTAGTAGATTTATTTATTTATCTTTTTTTGTGTCGCTCGATGATTCAAATCACAACGATGAGAAGCTTCAAAGAAAATAAAAAAAAATTCCTAACACCCAAGGCTAATATTTGTAGCAACAACTTTAGCACTATTGTAATAGATGATTAGCATAATAGGCTATTATGAATATTGACACCTGCAGTGAAGAAATTTCATTACATGGATGATAATGAAAAGTTCACGGAGGACAGCTACCCCGTGAACTGGTGACCGTCGTAATTGGGGCGCCAGTATACATGAATTGGTCTTATTAGAGGCAATTTTCTAATTTGTTAGTGCAGTCCGGCAAGGAAGCGATACCTGCGTTTGGTACACGCGCGTTTATCATCAATTAGTTAACAGTTAGTATTCTAATTTATAAACAAGTTTAGGTAGTTATCGTTGGTATGATTTGATCTGATGATAGTCTATTTGATTTTAAGCGGTAATAAAACTAAGTGCACAGTATACGACACGAAATGTTAAAAAAATTAGTAGCAGAAAATATTTATTTTAGTCCGATCCACACAGAACAAGTTAACAGTGAAGTGTTGCAATAATTACCCCTATAAGTTGTATTATACCATGCGCATAAATATAAAAAAAAGGACTATTTGCTTGTATTATTTTACTGGTAATGTTCTAGTATAATGTATAATCGTTATCTTAAAAAGATACACAATTTACAGAGTACTATATTTAAATACGAGGGCGAGGGGAGTTCGCGGAATGGAGACCAAGAACAATAAAATTGATATTTCAGCGTAGTATTCTCACATTACGTCAACAATTTACTGTTACCATCAAAAAAACCCCTTCCGGATCTTAAAAAATTGGCTTTGACGTTTTCGGTCGAATTGTTATACTAAAATTCTTGCGGGTCCAAAACTTTGCAGTTACATGCTTCGAGTCGCTGTTTGTGAACAGCGTAAGCGTTCTCAAATATATCTTGCGCACACTTTCGATATGCCAAGACTTATCTTGTAAAATGTACAAATTTGTTATTTTTGATACTGCAACCATTTCTGTAATTTTTTTTTTATTCGGCCTACCAATACTGATTTTTCCGCGTACATAAGTGTTGTTATGAGGGTACTAAGACAGTTCGATTTACCATCTTCTGCTTAATTACCACTTACAACCTGGTGGAATTGTAGTCATGTTATGTAAATGTTGCTGCAGCTATATTATAGTTGTAGCACGAATACGTTGTCTCGACCTGCGTAAGACCACGCTCTTACAGAATACTATAATAGCGTAAAATAACAGCTTAATGATGTTTTGTTTCATAAGGTTGGTGTTGGGAACCGGATATCTTTTTTACTGGAAACGTTGCATTCCATCGTAGACGACGCATCTGCATTTTGATTTATTTAAGGACTAGTTGTTCCCCCTGATTTCGTCCGCGTCGAAATTGTTACGATTGGATTTCATGGGTTTTAGTTTCTTTTGCGGCGGAACCGTAATTCTTTTTCCAAAATAAAATTAGCCTAAGTTACTCTTTATAACATCAGCTATGTGCACGTGAAAGTCCCTTCAAAATTGGTCTAGCCAAAACAGACAGACAGACAGACCGACAAACAGACAGACCGACACACAGAAAGACCGACAGACTAATAAAATTTTTAATTTTTTTTTATTTTGTAATAAGTATCGTATGTATGAGGAGAGGTCAAAAAGTTCACGGAATAACAGGGAATGATAATGAAATGAAACATAAAACTATTTTTCCTTTTCAATGTATTCTCCCTTAATCGTAATACATTTATTAGATCTGTCAAATAACTTATTAATAGCGTCTAAAAAAAAGATTTGTCTTGGGCGTCAAAAGAGGCTTAAGAATATTCAACATAGTATAAAACCCAGGGTCTAATTGTTGGGAAAGCCCAGTAGTAATTAAGTTAGTTTGTAAGTTAGGTACTCTAGTATTCCTGTGTACTCACATTGTTACAGTAGTTAAGTGAACTTCTAAGTTAGAAAATAAAAGTAATATAGGAAAAAGTTAGGTAGTCCATTATTCCTGTGTACTCAAATTGTCACAGTAGTTAAGATAACAGTAGTAAAGTTAAGTTAGAAAATAAAAGTAATATAGGAAAAGTTTTCGTCTCTTTTTACTTCTGCCCTCCCTCAGCTGCTGCAAACGTAACTTGTTCATTAGTTAATTTTCTGTTATTATTTGGGTGTATATCTACGGGGGTGACATAGTCACTGTATGTGACACGACCCCTTTTATGTCACTTGCCTAATATTATGTATCGTGTATTACAGTGGCGACGTGTGTATGTGTGAATGTGTGTGTATGGTCGCAGGCATGAACAACGTGTACCGAGACGTGCAGAGCGTGGTGGCGCGCGCGAGTGGCGTGGGCGGGCGGCGCGCGCGCACGGCGCTACTGCTCAACTGCCACTTCGACACCGTGCCCGACAGCCCAGGTCAGTGCATATTTACACTGCCTAGCTAGCACACTTTTTGTTCTGAATTGCCGGTTTTGTAGAATACATATAAATATTAGTTCATAAAGCATATTGTATAAGGCCCCTATTACATTATCATGTCTATATGATCATATACACATGACAATGCAGTGGCGTGATGAGGCAAAATATGGAGACGCTGCGCTAGTGTACGTGCAGTGTGCGTGTATGTGCAGACGTGAGTGACGACGGCGCGGGATGCGCTGTGCCGCTGGAGTGTGGAGAAGCTGCGCTAGTGTGTGTGTAGTGTGCGTGCAGTGTGCGTGTATGTGCAGGCGCGTGTGACGACGGCGCGGGGTGCGCCGTGCCGCTAAAGTGTGGAGACGCTGCGCTAGTGTGTGTGTAGTGCGCGTGCAGTGTGCGTGTATGTGCAGGCGCGAGTGACGACGGCGCGGGGTGCTCCGTGCCGCTAAAGTGTGGAGACGCTGCGCTAGTGTGTGTGTAGTGTGCGTGCAGTGTGCGTGTATGTACAGGCGCGAGTGACGACGGCGCGGGGTTCGCCGTGCCGCTAAAGTGTGGAGACGCTGCGCTAGTGTGTGTGTAGTGTGCGTGCAGTGTGCGTGTATGTACAGGCGCGAGTGACGACGGCTCGGGGTGCGCCGTGCCGCTAAAGTGTGGAGACGCTGCGCTAGTGTGTGTGTAGTGTGCGTGCAGTGTGCGTGTATGTACAGGCGCGAGTGACGACGGCGCGGGGTGCGCCGTGCCGCTAAAGTGTGGAGACGCTGCGCTAGTGTGTGTGTAGTGTGCGTGCAGTGTGCGTGTATGTACAGGCGCGGGGTGCGCCGTGCCGCTGGAGTGTGGAGACGCTGCGCTAGTGTGTGTGTAGTGTGCGTGCAGTGTGCGTGTATGTACAGGCGCGAGTGACGACGGCGCGGGGTGCGCCGTGCCGCTGGAGTGTGGAGACGCTGCGCTAGTGTGTGTGTAGTGTGCGTGCAGTGTGCGTGTATGTACAGGCGCGAGTGACGACGACGCGGGGTGCGCCGTGCCGCTAAAGTGTGGAGACGCTGCGCTAGTGTGTGTAGTGTGCGTGCAGTGTGCGTGTATGTACAGGCGCGAGTGACGACGGCGCGGGGTGCGCCGTGCCGCTGGAGTGTGGAGACGCTGCGCTAGTGTGTGTGTAGTGTGCGTGCAGTGTGCGTGTATGTACAGGCGCGAGTGACGACGGCGCGGGGTGCGCCGTGCCGCTAAAGTGTGGAGACGCTGCGCTAGTGTGTGTGTAGTGTGCGTGCAGTGTGCGTGTATGTACAGGCGCGAGTGACGACGGCGCGGGGTGCGCCGTGCCGCTAAAGTGTGGAGACGCTGCGCTAGTGTGTGTGTAGTGTGCGTGCAGTGTGCGTGCAGTGTGCGTGTATGTACAGGCGCGAGTGACGACGGCGCGGGGAGCGCCGTGCCGCTAAAGTGTGGAGACGCTGCGCTAGTGTGTGTGTAGTGTGCGTGCAGTGTGCGTGTATGTACAGGCGCGAGTGACGACGGCGCGGGGTGCGCCGTGCCGCTAAAGTGTGGAGACGCTGCGCTAGTGTGTGTGTAGTGTGCGTGCAGTGTGCGTGCAGTGTGCGTGTATGTACAGGCGCGAGTGACCACGGCGCGGGGTGCGCCGTGCCGCTAAAGTGTGGAGACGCTGCGCTAGTGTGTGTGTAGTGTGCGTGCAGTGTGCGTGTATGTACAGGCGCGAGTGACGACGGCGCGGGGTGCGCCGTGCCGCTGGAGTGTGGAGACGCTGCGCTAGTGTGTGTGTAGTGTGCGTGCAGTGTGCGTGTAGGTACAGGCGCGAGTGACGACGGCGCGGGGTGCGCCGTGCCGCTGGAGTGTGGAGACGCTGCGCTAGTGTGTGTGTAGTGTGCGTGCAGTGTGCGTGTATGTACAGGCGCGAGTGACGACGACGCGGGGTGCGCCGTGCCGCTAAAGTGTGGAGACGCTGCGCTAGTGTGTGTAGTGTGCGTGCAGTGTGCGTGTATGTACAGGCGCGAGTGACGACGGCGCGGGGTGCGCCGTGCCGCTGGAGTGTGGAGACGCTGCGCTAGTGTGTGTGTAGTGTGCGTGCAGTGTGCGTGTATGTACAGGCGCGAGTGACGACGGCGCGGGGTGCGCCGTGCCGCTAAAGTGTGGAGACGCTGCGCTAGTGTGTGTGTAGTGTGCGTGCAGTGTGCGTGTATGTACAGGCGCGAGTGACGACGGCGCGGGGTGCGCCGTGCCGCTAAAGTGTGGAGACGCTGCGCTAGTGTGTGTGTAGTGTGCGTGCAGTGTGCGTGTATGTACAGGCACGAGTGCGACGGCGCGGGGTGCGCCGTGCCGCTAAAGTGTGGAGACGCTGCGCTAGTGTGTGTGTAGTGTGCGTGCAGTGTGCGTGTATGTACAGGCGCGAGTGATGACGGCGCGGGGTGTGCCGTGCCGCTAAAGTGTGGAGACGCTGCGCTAGTGTGTGTGTAGTGTGCGTGCAGTGTGCGTGTATGTACAGGCGCGAGTGACGACGGCGCGGGGAGCGCCGTGCCGCTGGAGTGTGGAGACGCTGCGCTAGTGTGTGTGTAGTGTGCGTGCAGTGTGCGTGTATGTACAGGCGCGAGTGACGACGGCGCGGGGTGCGCCGTGCCGCTAAAGTGTGGAGACGCTGCGCTAGTGTGTGTGTGTAGTGTGCGTGCAGTGTGCGTGTATGTAAAGGCGCGAGTGACGACGGCGCGGGGTGCGCCGTGCCGCTAAAGTGTGGAGACGCTGCGCTAGTGTGTGTGTAGTGTGCGTGCAGTGTGCGTGTATGTACAGGCGCGAGTGACGACGGCGCGGGGTGCGCCGTGCCGCTAAAGTGTGGAGACGCTGCGCTAGTGTGTGTGTAGTGTGCGTGCAGTGTGCGTGTATGTACAGGCGCGAGTGACGACGGCGCGGGGTGCGCCGTGCCGCTAAAGTGTGGAGACGCTGCGCTAGTGTGTGTGTAGTGTGCGTGCAGTGTGCGTGTATGTACAGGCGCGAGTGACGACGGCGCGGGGTGCGCCGTGCCGCTAAAGTGTGGAGACGCTGCGCTAGTGTGTGTGTAGTGTGCGTGCAGTGTGCGTGTATGTACAGGCGCGAGTGATGACGGCGCGGGGTGTGCCGTGCCGCTAAAGTGTGGAGACGCTGCGCTAGTGTGTGTGTAGTGTGCGTGCAGTGTGCGTGTATGTACAGGCGCGAGTGACGACGGCGCGGGGAGCGCCGTGCCGCTGGAGTGTGGAGACGCTGCGCTAGTGTGTGTGTAGTGTGCGTGCAGTGTGCGTGTATGTACAGGCGCGAGTGACGACGGCGCGGGGAGCGCCGTGCCGCTGGAGTGTGGAGACGCTGCGCTAGTGTGTGTGTAGTGTGCGTGCAGTGTGCGTGTATGTACAGGCGCGAGTGACGACGGCGCGGGGTGCGCCGTGCCGCTAAAGTGTGGAGACGCTGCGCTAGTGTGTGTGTGTAGTGTGCGTGCAGTGTGCGTGTATGTAAAGGCGCGAGTGACGACGGCGCGGGGTGCGCCGTGCCGCTAAAGTGTGGAGACGCTGCGCTAGTGTGTGTGTAGTGTGCGTGCAGTGTGCGTGAATGTACAGGCGCGAGTGACGACGGCGCGGGGTGCGCCGTGCCGCTAAAGTGTGGAGACGCTGCGCTAGTGTGTGTGTAGTGTGCGTGCAGTGTGCGTGCAGTGTGCGTGTATGTACAGGCGCGAGTGACGACGGCGCGGGGTGCGCCGTGCCGCTAAAGTGTGGAGACGCTGCGCTAGTGTGTGTGTAGTGTGCGTGCAGTGTGCGTGTATGTACAGGCGCGAGTGACGACGGCGCGGGGTGCGCCGTGCCGCTAAAGTGTGGAGACGCTGCGCTAGTGTGTGTGTAGTGTGCGTGCAGTGTGCGTGTATGTACAGGCGCGAGTGACGACGGCGTGGGGTGCGCCGTGCCGCTAAAGTGTGGAGACGCTGCGCTAGTGTGTGTGTGTAGTGTGCGTGCAGTGTGCGTGCAGTGTGCGTGCAGTGTGCGTGTATGTACAGGCGCGAGTGACGACGGCGCGGGGTGCGCCGTGCCGCTAAAGTGTGGAGACGCTGCGCTAGTGTGTGTGTAGTGTGCGTGCAGTGTGCGTGTATGTACAGGCGCGAGTGACGACTGCGCGGGGTGCGCCGTGCCGCTGGAGTGTGGAGGCGCTGCGCTAGTGTGTGTGTAGTGTGCGTGCAGTGTGCGTGCAGTGTGCGTGTATGTACAGGCGCGAGTGACGACGGCGCGGGGTGCGCCGTGCCGCTAAAGTGTGGAGACGCTGCGCTAGTGTGTGTGTAGTGTGCGTGCAGTGTGCGTGTATGTACAGGCGCGAGTGACGACGGCGCGGGGTGCGCCGTGCCGCTAAAGTGTGGAGACGCTGCGCTAATGTGTGTGTAGTGTGCGTGCAGTGTGCGTGTATGTACAGGCGCGAGTGACGACGGTGCGGGGTGCGCCGTGCCGCTAAAGTGTGGAGACGCTGCGCCAGTGTGTGTGTAGTGTGCGTGCAGTGTGCGTGTATGTACAGGCGCGAGTGACGACGGCGCGGGGTGCGCCGTGCCGCTGGAGTGTGGAGACGCTGCGCTAGTGTGTGTGTAGTGTGCGTGCAGTGTGCGTGTATGTACAGGCGCGAGTGACTACGGCGCGGGGTGCGCCGTGCCGCTGGAGTGTGGAGACGCTGCGCTAGTGTGTGTGTAGTGTGCGTGCAGTGTGCGTGTATGTACAGGCGCGAGTGACGACGGCGCGGGGTGCGCCGTGCCGCTAAAGTGTGGAGACGCTGCGCTAGTGTGTGTGTAGTGTGCGTGCAGTGTGCGTGCAGTGTGCGTGTATGTACAGGCGCGAGTGACGACGGTGCGGGGTGCGCCGTGCCGCTAAAGTGTGGAGACGCTGCGCTAGTGTGTGTGTAGTGTGCGTGCAGTGTGCGTGTATGTACAGGCGCGAGTGACGACGGCGCGGGGTGCGCCGTGCCGCTGGAGTGTGGAGACGCTGCGCTAGTGTCTG